ATAATAATTGGGCTGACATTGTGGCATAGTGGGGGGTTAAGCCACTGGCTGCAATGTTGGCATCCCATATGGGTATTGGTTCATATCCCAGCTGCTCTACTTCTGATCCAGCTTCCTGCTAAAGTGCCTGGAAAAGCAGCAGCAAATGGCCCAGGTGCTTAGGCTCCTACCACACATGTGAGGGACCCAGATAAGGCTTCTGGTTCCTGGCTTCAGGCCAGCCCCGCCCTGGCCATCATGGACATCTGGGGAGTAAACCAGTAGATGGAAAATCTGTCTCTGTCTGCCTCTCTGTAACTCTGCCTTTAAAATAAATAAATAAATCTTAAATAATAATAATAATTAGAATGGGGCCAGCATGTTGGTACAGTGGGTTAAACCACTGCTGTGACACTGGCATCCCATATCATAGTGCCAGTTTGAGTCCCTCTGCTTTTTTTTTAAAGATTGATTTTATTTATTTGAAAGTCACAGTTACACAAAGAGAGAAGGAGAAGCATAGAGACAGAGAGGTCTTCCATCCTCTGGTTCACTCCCAAGTTGGCTTCCTTTAGGTCTCCCATGCAGGTACAGAGTCCCAAGGGCTTGGGTAACCTTCCACTGCTTTCTCAGGCCATAGCAGAGAGCTGGATTGGAAGTGGAGCAGCCAGGTCTCAAACTGGCACCCATGTGGGATGCTGGCACTACAGGTGGCGTTTTTACCTGCTATGCCACAGCGCCAGCCCCAGTCCCTCTGCTTCTGATCCAGCTCCCTGCTAATGTGCCTGAGAAAGCAGTGGACGATGGCCCAACTATTCGGACCTCTCCCACTAATGTGGGAGATCCAGATGCAGTTCCAGGCTCCAGGTTCCTGGCTTCATTCTGGCCCAACCCTGGCTGTTGTGAGCATTTGGGAAGTGAACCAGCAGATGGAAAATGGGTCTCTCTCTCTCTCTCTCTCTCTGTTTCATAGATATGACACATGTACATGATAGACATGACACATAGTTTATATAATCCATTTCAAGCTTCATTAATATTAACTTCTTTTTAAAGATCTATTTATTTGAAAGAGTTACAGAAAGAGAGGGAGAGAGAGAGACAGAGACAGAAAGATATTGATCTTCCATCCACTGGTTCACTTTCCAAATGGCCACAATGTCCAAGGATAGACCAGGCTGGAGCCAGAAGCTTCATCTGCATATCCCATGTTGGTGCAGGGGCCTAAGCACTTGGGCCATCTTCCGCTGCTTTCTCAGGCTCATTAGCAGGGAGCTGGACTGGAAGTGGAGCAGCCGGGACTCTAACTGGCGCGCATGTGGGATGGCAGCATCACAAGTGGCAGCTTAACACACTACGCCACAGTGCCAGCCCAGATATTAACATTTCCAGCAAAGCAGCCAGACCTGAGCCAGGCTGGAGTTGGGAGCCCAGAACTTGATCCATGTCTCCCACATGAGTGCCAAGAACTGAACTACTTGAGCCAGTACCTTCAGCTTCCCAGGGTACACATTAGCAAGAAGCTGAAATTGGAAACATCCAGGATTCAAACCTAGATACCCTAATAAGGGATGCAGACATACCAAGCAACATTTTAACTGGTATGTCAAATGCCTACTCCCATATTGAATCTTAGTATTAGCACGTATTACTATTTTTCAAAAGAAATGTTGAACCTTGTTTTTGTCTAAATTAACTAGAAAATCCTCAAGCTAAATGACATCAACACCTTATACTTAGGGAAGAAATATGGAAATTCTGGCCTTTGGGAAAACAATCTCTAAGCATTTGGCTTCCATGTAAGATGTAAGAAGGTGATCGATAATTGTGTGTTTAGGAGACTAGTTTTCCTTTAGTGACTACTGTTGATTATCCTAGGAAGATCAAGAGGTGATGTGAAGGTCAGGTGCACTTGCATGTCATGAAAGAGCTTAAGGTAATGAATATTTCTTCAGATTCATTAGTCTGGTCAGGTTCCATGAACAATACATAGCAAATACAGTCTGGCAGTCTTAACATTGAAAAATATCAGTGTATTCTGAGGGCTGACATTATGGCTCAGTGAGCTAAGCTGCGACTTGCAATGCCAGCATTCTATATTGGAGCACCAGTTTTGAGTCCCAGCTGCTCCATTTCTGATCCAGCTCCCTGTTAATTCACTTTGGAAAGCAGCAGAAAGTGGCCCAAATTCTTGAGTCCCTGCCCACAACATGGGAGCCTCGGTGGAGCTTTGCACACCTGGCTTCATCCTGGACCAGCCTTGGCCATTGCAGACATTTGGAGACTGAACCAGCAGATTGAAAATCAATCTCTCTCTCTTGCTCTCTCCCTCTTTCCTCCTACTCCATCCACCGCTCCCACATCACTCTTTTCCCTTCAAATAAGTAAACGGGTCATTTAAAAAAAAATCACAATACTAACATATTTGGATTGAGGTGTTGCCTGAGTACCCTTCCACTTCATGTCTGTTAGTTTCCAAGACTCAACTGCATACACATGAAAAATAAAAGTAATGTATGAATGCATGTACTTTAAGCCTATCCAAAACCAAGCTAGATAATTAGGTTATTTATTTCAGTATTAAAGTTTGTTTCAAGGAAGAATACAGAAACTACTCTTTTTGAAGATGACTGAATAATATATTTTAAATATTTGTCAAGCAGATGCATAGTTTGATGTGAACATCATTTGATATGATGTGAACCAATACTAACATCTTCACTTACGAGAGCAAAATCAGTCTTTCCTCAGATGGTGTCTCTTTACCATCAGGCATCCAAATTGAAAACTGTAAAAAGTCAGCATCTAGATTGTTGTGTTTCAATACAAATCCGTTTTTATAGCAGTAAGTCCTATGTGGAATTAAAAGCTAAAATTTATATCTTAACTGTAGGCAACCAAAACTGCTATTCCCAGTTTCGTGATTATTCTCTTGCTGTCTTTGGAAATAGTTGCTCTAGATCTAGATCAATTTAAAAAGGAGCCAGAGAACCCACTCTTTAAAAGTCATAGGCAACTCCTACAGTCCTCTTGATTCAAAGGGCGGCCAGTGCCTACTGACCAGGGAGACTGTCCCTCCCTCTCGAGAGCTCCATGGTCTCAGAGGCTGCAGCGCTTGGTGTGGAAATTCTGTCCAGGAGTTGATGTGGCACATCCCGTTCCAGGACACGTGTATGTTCAGTCTGACTTTTGTCTTCAACAGCCAAATCAGGCACAGTGATCCTCTCCACATGATGCTGTTCTGAAGGCAACTGCTGTGTCCACCAGCCATGCCTACCCCACATACATCCCTGAGTTCGCCAGGGATCCCAGGCCTGACCTGGGCCCCTCATGCCCACACACGATTTTCTCAACATTTCTCCCTATTTGTTTACATCTGTGAGACCCCAATTCTTCCTTGACTGACTGTGGATAACCAGTTTATGTTATTACAGAACGTTGTCCTGAACTGTAGGGAGCACTAGGTTATTGAAGTAATCAAAGTGTCTTATGTTATTACAGCTCAAATACTTATGTTCACATAGATGGTTTAGATCAACATTAAACAGGAACTTACTGCTTTTTATTTAGTACCTGCAAGACATTGCTAGCTTGAGGGTACTTATCAGATGCAGTTTGTGGTCTCAGCCTTGAATTTAGAAAACAACTCCTATTTCATTTGAAACATTTAGCCTGTTTTAATGTAACACCTATTTGAGAGTTCAGATAATCTGAAAATCTGTGACTACTGTCACTATCTACTCACGGTTCATCAGAATGTAAGTGTCAAATAGTGAAGAGAATTTTGACAATTATCATTATTTCTAAGGTTAGCATGTCTGAAGGGTGTGTTTTGAAGATAGCAGCTTGTGTGTGCCTCCCAGATGAGGTCACCAGTCAGGCCTTCGGCTTGCTGCTGTGTTTCCCTGTGACTTACGTCACAAATGGCTTGAGGAGCTGAGGTGGAAGGAAGGAGGGTCATGAGTGAGTGTGGAGCTGCCTTGCTTGGTCAGAGGCCTGTGTCTGGGTTTGGAGCCCTTAGAGAACGGAAAGGGCTGGCAAAGGTTTCCAAGTTGTGTACATCAAGCTCCAGTTGTCATCATCTCCCTGGCCTCTGGGCTGAACTGAGGGCTCCTCTGGGCTGTGGCCTCACAGGGTCCTTTTTTCCTGCTGTGGTGCCTGTCTGATCCTCTGGCACCTGAGATGCGAGAGTGACGTGTGGAAGCCAACCATGGCTTACTTCTCTCAGTGTCTGCTCAAGCCTGTTGTCAACACGTGGGCAGCAGCATGAGATCAGGAACGTCTGCCCTAAGGAGTAGATGGGGACCTTGACTCTGGTCAGGACAGCCATCGTGGCAGAGATGGCTGTGGAGCCGGCCTTCTGTCAGATGGCCTCAGGACAGGCATGCTCATGACAGAACCCCACATGGTAGTACCAGGGCTTGTGGAGTCCCCACTTCACAGCAGAGGCCTGGGAAGTAAAAGCTGATAAGCGGTGGTCATTTTGGGAAGTTAACATTCCATAGACCATCTCAAGAGTTAGCTGTTCTGCCTTGGTCTATCAGCTGCACTTGGCCAGGTCCCTGATACCAGTGCACACTTGGAAATGAAATAGAAAAAGTGCCCTGGTGATCAAGAGAAAATTATGGGTTTCATAATAATTTTAAAATATTTTATGTTCATAGGTAAGGTTCAGGGGAAACTGAGAACTCTCATTCAAGAACTAGCAGTGAAATTGTTCACAATACAGTGTCTACTTTGACAGTGACACAGCTGACCAGAGTGGGTTAGAAAGAGGATTATCTATGTCGGATGACAGAGATGACGCTTAATACTTATTAAAATACTTATTTTGTGTGTTCTCATGTTGGTAGTGTAACATCTTTGGTAGAGTAACTACTGTGACGTAAAGTTGAGAATCACTGAAGCAGATAGCTTAAATTCTTTCTCTACTGTAAGATCCTGAAAGAATATTTATTTAGCTTATATGTTTGTTATGGATCCATTATACTGAAGATTGTTCTATTTGATATTTTGAACAGATCAGGATTCTCATGATCAACCAAAGAGAAGAAGAATTAGAAAGCATAAATCAAAGAAAAATTTGAAAAATTCCAATTTTGTTCATGTAGAACAAGCAGAATTAGAGAAACATCAGAGTCTTTTACAAGAGAAATTACAGCACCAGCACACAGATGGCCCGTCAATCAGCAAAAATAAAAAAAGGAAACTGAAAAAGAAACGGCAGATTAAAAGGAAGAAAGCAGCTGGCTTAGCAACAAAGGCTTCAGGTGTCAATTTCATGTACCAACCTGCAGAGAGCACCAGTGAGCAAGAAAATGAAAGAGACAGTGAGGGAGAGGTTAGAGACAGCAGTGAGGAAGATGTCAGAGATGCCAAGGAGGAAGAAGCTGGAGACGCCAGTGAGGAAGAGGTTAAAGTCACCAATGAAAAGGCAGATGGCATCCTAAGCTTGCTGAAATCAATGCAAGAAATTTATTTTTATGATGGTATGTATTTTCCTGTTTTGACTAATGGCACCCACTTTCAATTGTGGAAAAGTGAACAATAAGTTAATATTTTGATGTTTACAATATAAAGCACATTAAAGTGTTCATGACAAATAATGAATTTCAAGGCAAAAATCAAGATATTTAAATTCTCTCCACCAAAGGGTTGGAATTGCTAATTACTCGAGACATTCTGAAAGAAGCAGCATGGCCAGCCCAGTAAAGCTGTGCCTCTGGGTTGGCTGGGCTCATGTTCTTCATTCCTCTAAAATCAGGCTTCAGAGTGTGTTGGTGTTCTACAGTGTTTCTAACTGAAAGGCGAATCTAGACCGGAGGTTTTCATGGACTTGTGTTCACCTTCATAAATTTATAGAGCAGTAGAAGCAGCACATTTCCTCTTTAGGAAACACAAGGACACATCAAAAGATCTGTGAGGAAATGGAACTAAAAGGTAAGTTTGGTGTAAAAACAACTTGAAATCCATGCATAAGACATGTTATAATTTTCTGCATATAGCTTACTGATTTAAGATTTTTCAGTTAGCATTTTCTGGAAACTATCTGAGTTCGTGTAGGATATGAAACTAAAGGTGTGTTTATTCTCATGACTGGCAGTTGCTTACATTTGTGTTACATTTTATTGATAACTGGCCAGAGGATTACAAAGAAGCAACTGCCAAAAGCCAGGAAGAAAAGCACTCCAACAATTTTCTTATTTTTATTTATTTATTTATTTATTTATTGACAGGCAGAGTTAGACCGTGAGAGAGAGAGAGAGAGACAGACAGGAAGGTCTTCCTACCGTTGGTTCACCCCCTAAATGGCCGCTATGGCCGGCACTCTGCGTCGATCTGAAGCCAGGAGGCAGGTGCTTCCTCCTGGTCTCCCATGTGGTTGCAGGGCCTAAGCACTTGGGCCATCCTCCACTGCACTCCCGGGCCACGGCAGAGAGCTGGACTGGAAGAGGAGCAACCGGGACAGAATCCAGCACCCCAATTGGGACTAGAACCCGGAGTGCCGGCACCACAGGCGGAGGATTAGCCAAGTGAGCCGCAGCGCCGGCCAATTTCCTTATTTTGATGACATTACTAATAGATTAGGGAATGTGGTGGGTTTAATAGTTCCAGATTTCAGCAAGACCAATTTGACCCAAGAAGATGATGCCAGGTGTCCTTAGCCCTTTTCTCTTTACCATGTTTATCAGTGATTTGTATCAACAGATTGAAAACGTAATATCCAAATGACACCAATTAGAAGACATAGCTGATACACTTTGAGATAGAAGGTAGGATTCAGAAAGATCTCAGTAGATTTTTCATTCTCTGTACAAATAGAATAGCTTATGGCAGACCAGCAGCCATGCCAAGAATAACTAGAAAATCAGATTAAAAGATCTGTTGAAGGAATGTCAGCTCCTGAAGAAGTGACACCTGGGGAAGTGAACCAGCCTCCTATAGCCACTTTTCATTCAGGGTATTGGCCAACTGTGGATGTGAGGCATCGGGTTAGGGTCTAGAAAAGGAGTCCTAAGAGGCAGACAAATCAGCAGAGTATATGTCAGTCTCATGGAATTATGGAGACAGAAAGTAGAAAGTCGGGGGCTGGTGAGGAAGAAAGTTGAAGAGACCCTAACACTGTGCTGGCCTTCCCTCAAAACCATCACCAAAATCTGACACCCAGGGAGGAGGTAAAAACCCACGTAAAGAGCCCCTGAGTATTACAGTGGACTTCTTGGCTGTGCTGATGTGCTGTGCAGACAAGGTTTCCCAGAGCCCAGGATACCAGAGGTAGATGACTTGGCAGACATGACAGACCCTGAATGAGCCAGGTTGACTCACCCTGACCCTGTTTGCCTAGCAGGCTAAGAGCAAATCCATCTTGTGCGTGCCAAGAGACAGGACCATAGAGCCAACACCGAGAGAATAGAGCCGTGGAAGTAGCCACAGGAGCAGAAGACATTGATTTCATCAGACAGGAAAGTTTAAGTAGATCTGGTTAAGTGTTTCAAGAAATTGGGGCTAAAATGAAGAAAAAAGATTTTAAAAAAATGGAGACTCTAATAACCGAAATTCAGAACTCAGTGTAAACAGAAGATTAAATTCTACATAAAACACAATAGCTAAAGCACCAGAGGAAAAGGAGCTGTAACCGTCACAAGACCAGCAGCTGAACTGATGGTTGTCCTTCAGTACAAACAGTAGGACCTGGCGCCTGGTTCTTGGTTTGCTTGACTCATCCTAAACCGCCGGCAGTCTTGTTCTTGTTGTTTAAAGACACGGGACAAGAAGATGAGGAGCTTGGCTTCGCTGGTTTATCCTAGAGCTGCTTGTGACTTGGAGTCCCATGTTATATTTGGACAGTGTCTTGCAAGGTCAAACACATAAAAGTTTCCATTGTTGTTCAAAAGTAGCGTTTTTGTTGTCCTCATGTACTTTTCAGAGGTCTCGTGTCCCAGTGCCTTTGTATGTCCCAGACATCTCATTCCAAGTAGAAATGTGTTTGAAGCTTTCCTTAGGAAATGAAATCTTATCGTCATCATTTACAAAAGTAAAGCTCTATTTCAACGTGATGCTGACTTCGTTTAGGTCTCTGCAAAGACTCAGATTCCTCTGTGTGTGTGGAAACCACTGAGGAGCTGCTGCGGCTCCTGGAGTCTCACTGCATGCCTGCCTCAGACGTGTTCGTTCTGGACCACATGAAAACACTGTTGCTTTTGCAAGATACTGAGAGACTGAAGAGTGCTCTGGAAATATTCCCAGAACACTGCATGATGCCTCCTGGTAAGTACTGTGTGGTTTACTTGTTGTACTGCTGACATGCTGTAGTCAAAGTTTTTCCGTGAAGTTACACTCCACCAGGACAGCAATGAATCAGAAACTGTAAGGATGCCCAGAGAGCTTAGAAGAGTAGAATACCACAGAGAAATGGGTTTCTTCTGTCTCTGCTTGCTATAAAATATGTCACAATATATGTGGAACTGCATGTGCAGTCTAATTTTCCAGACCTGTGAGCTCTCAACTCTTAGAGCGCATTTTCCTAAGTTTTAATAGAAGTGAAATAGTTCATTTCTTCCCTTTTCCTTCTCTTCTGCTGAGGTGATACAAAGTAAATTTTTTTCTGTCTTCCAAATATTTTGGTGTGCCTCATTGAACATCTACTGTTAGGAAGAGTGTTGAGATGTTATGAATCTCTTGTTTATTTCCAGCTTTTACTGGGTAACCATTCTATGCAGACTGTAGTGTGCAGGGGCCATGTGTGTGGTGGCATGGGCCAATGGTGGGCATAGGAATCATGGAGAAAGAGCCAGTAGGATTGGCCAACAGGGTGTGTGTAGAAGAGCCAAGAAGCTGGTAGGAGAAGAAGGACTGCAGGAAGGAGCAGGCTGGGGTGAAGAGCTGTCAGGAGCCCTGTGCTGCTTGCTGGACACCCACGTGGGCACCTGGACAGAGTAATGGGGAGTGGGAGAAGGGCTTCATCAGGAAGGGGCCAAGAGCAGACCATGACTGATGACCTTGCCACGAGGGTTGCTGTGAAAGAAAATGGAAAGTGAGGTTGCAGGAGCAGGCAGAGTCTAGAGGCACCGAGAGAGGAATCAGAGCAGGGCTGCTGTGGTGGGGAGCAGCCTGTGTGGAAGGAAAGAGGGAGACCACGGCTGGAGTCACAGGAGCAGGGGCAGCTCTGGAAGGGACACAAGATCAGGGGTCTCAACTCAGAGACTAGCATTCTTTGTTATTTGGTCCTCAGGCCTACTATATTATTTAACAAATTTAAACATCCACAATAACTGTTCATCTCAAATGGCAAAAAGCCTATTTTATTAAGTTCAATTAACATGAGATTTTTATGAGATGAACGAAAGTAAACCATTTAAAGTTTTGAATCTTGGGGCTGGCATTGTGGCGCAGCAGGTTAAGCCACTGTTTGCAATGCTGGTATCCTGTATCCTAGTGATGTGTTTGAGTCTTGGCTGCTCTGCTGCTGATCCAGCTACCCGCTAATAATCCTCAGAAGGCAATGAAAGATGTCCCAAGTGTTTGGGCCCCTGCCACCCACAAGGGAGACAGAAGTGGACTTACTGGCTCCTGGTTTCTGCCTGGTCCAGCCCTGGCTGTTGTGGCCTTTTGGGGAGTGAACCAATAAAAGATTTCTCTCTCTCTCTCTCTCCCTCTCTCTCTCTTTCTCTCCCCTTCTTGTCTCTCTTTCTCTCTCTTCCTCTCCCTCTCCTTTCCTCCCTCTCTGACTCTCTACCTTTCAAGTAAATAAGTCTTTAAAGATAAATTTAAGTTTTTTAGGATAACATTTCCATCTTTTTAAGAGTTGTGTTGTGTTTCTCATACTTGAGGGTTGTGTGTGTGTGCAGTGTTCTAAAATGCATCAGGCCGTGGTTAGCACTCTGCATTGTGAGATGCTTCAGAAGAGTGTGGACAGCTGTTAGGATATTCAGCAGATTCCTCAATATTAAGATCATTGTAAACCATTTTTTAATCATTGGAAGTCATTGTTTTTTTTAATTATTGATGGGTTTTGTCTACCAACATATTTATAATTGACCAAACTAAAACTTCTGTATGAATCTGTTTCTATAAAATTGATTCCCTTCAAATGCATGTAAATATGCATTTATAATATTCCTGGAGTCAGACTATTTTGTGAAATAATTTTTTTAAATGATGAAGCTTTATTTTCAATAAAATAAATAGATTTGAGTATTACAGATTTGGCTTACACTAATTTTTCAACTTATGTTTTCTTTTCCATAAAACTAGCTCATAAAGTTAAATTAATAGTTGTATCTCTCATTTCTGTGGGACAAGCATGGAATAGCATTCTGTGAGTAGGTACAGGTGCTTTCTGACCGTTGTATCTCTGCTGCCGTGTGGCTGACTCAGTAATTCTCTTTCCTGGATCATAGATGTCTCATTCAACAGGATACAGGCTACCCTTTCACAAATGTAGCACAGCTGCTTCATAGTGTTAGGCAAAGTGGGTGTTAGAAAAGTGACACCTTTTATCATATGCACCTGTTGTCGTAGGTAATATCTGCCATTCACTGAGTTGTGATCACTCACACATTGAGAAGGTGCTTCACGAGTTTTTCTGTTGAATCTTTGGTCCTCTGTATCAAAGTTTTATTATTCTGACTGTTGGGGAAACTAGGTGCAGAGGTCAAGCAATGTGAAGTCTGCTGTGGGTGTGTCTTGGTGTGTGCAGAGGGGCAGGTCTCCTGTGCTAAAAGTGCCCATCAGGTGTGGAAGTGAAACGTTTGCATGAGCAACAGTGGACTGAGTCCTGGGCATCCTGGGATCTTAGACTTGGGGAGTATATCTTTTTCCTGCAGGGCTCATGCCCAGTGTCCATGCTAATAACTTTAGAAGTGGCCAAAGCCCCTTATAAACTGGATTCTAGATCTTTATGAGTTGTAAAGTCTAACAAGGGAGGATCTTCACTCAAGTTACAGTTCTCCTGTGAGGTAAGGAAAGGACTGACTGCACAACAGTGTCAAAGAAACACTCATCTCCTTGACAGTTTCTTTGGGCTGTTCCCACAGGGCATTGGCATTCATGAAATGTGAATGCTGTATAATTTCTGTATTGTCTCATGGGAGATTCTACTTTACCTTTCTCTTCTAGTTAACCTGTGACATAACCTTCTATGTCCTTTCAATTTGTACATGGCTTTCTTTCAGATCAGATTTTAAACCTGTAATATTGTGCTGTGATAGCGTGAAGTTAAAACCTGAATAAAATACAAATATTCAGAACTCATCCACTATTCTGCCATATTTGTTGTGTATTGTGTAGTTAACAAGTGTAGTATGTCACTATCACATGCAATTGTGCCAAGTTTGCATTTTATTAGATTATTTCAGGATTTACTTTGGACCCCAAAACTAATATTCACAAAATAATAATTTATTATTTCTTTTTGTCTTTGTTTTATTTTACCTGTTGTTTTGTTTTTGTTTTTTGCTTTCCAGACCATGCCAGAGTAATCTCAGCTTTCTTTAATTACTGGATCACACATGTCCTTCCTGAGAAAAGCAATGAATAAAATCACTGTCTCTCTTTAAGAAGAGCTAATATTCAACAAGAAAATATAAAAGACAGAAATGAAGCAGGCTGAGAATTAAATCTTATTTACAAAGGTTAATTCTCAGTGTTTTCTTTGCAACCCAAATCCAGGGAACTTCAAAGACAATTTTGCCATGTTACTGATTCCTGTCTTTGTAAATAATGAATGAAACTTGAAGTCTCACCTGAAATTTAAAATGAGAAATAAGAGTGAAATTTATATTTTTCATTTATTTGTAATTGCATGTATCTTGAATTGATTCTGTTTAATTCCTGTAAAAATTGAAAATGGACATTCTATTAAATTAAGCTATATGGCTTGAAGATGTTATATATTTTTATAAAGTCACCTTGCATCTTAGAATCTTTGTTTTAAGAATACTTTATAGGTATTAAAATGTTCTAGTTTGGGCCTGCCTTGTGGTGCAGTAGGTTAAGCTGCCACATGCGATGCCAGCATCCCATATCGGAGCGCCAGTTCGAGCCCCTGCTGCTCTACTTCTGATTCAGGTTCCTGCTAATGCACCTGGGAAAGCAGCAGAAGATGGCCCAAGTACCTGGAACCATGCTACCCATGTAGGAGACCAGAATGGAGTCCAGGCTCCTGGCTTCAGCCTGACCCAACTACAGCCACTTCAGCCATTTGGTGAGTGAACCAGCAAATGGAAGATCTCTTTCTCTCTCTGTCTCTCCCTTTCTCTGTGTCACTCTGCCTTTCACATACATAAAATAAAACTTTTTTAAAATGTTCTAGTTTAGGGCCGGCGCCGTGGCTCACTAGACTAATCCTCCGCCTTGCAGCGCCGGCACACCGGGTTCTAGTCCCGGTTGGGGCGCCAGATTCTGTCCCGGTTGCCCCTCTTCCAGGCCAGCTCTCTGCTGTGGCCAGGGAGTGCAGTGGTGGATGGCCCAGGTGCTTGGGCCCTGCACCCCATGGGAGACCAGAAAAAGCACCTGGCTCCTGGCTCCTGCCATTGGATCAGCGCGGTGCGCCGGCCGCGGCGGCCATTGGAGGGTGAACCAACGGCAAAGGAAGACCTTTCTCTCTGTCTCTCTCTCTCACTGTCCACTCTGCCTGTCAAAAAATAAAAAAAAAAAATTAAAATGTTCTAGTTTAAGTAGTTTGCTTATAGTATAATTTGTAGCCGCCCTCCACCCCCACCCCCACCCCCAGCTTTACTTTGAGAAATAACAGCAAGAGCTAGTTTTCCTGATTTATCTTTGTTTTTGTCATGGAAGAAGTTCCTAGGTTTTAGCATTACTGAATTGGCAAAGCATCAGTCAATTTATGTAACATTTTAGGAGGGCGTTGACTCTATCCCTGAAAGTAAGAGTGGTAAAATATATATCACAGAAAGTATGATTTTTTTTTTAACTTTTATTTAATGAATATACGTTTCCAAAGTACGAATAATGGATTACTATGGCTTCCCCCCCATACCGTCCCTCCCACCCACAACCCTCCCCTTTCCCACGCCCTCTCCCCTTCCATTCACATCAAGATTCATTTTTGATTATCTTAATATACAGAAGATCAGCTTAGTATACATTAAGTAAGGATTTCAACAGTTTGCTCCCATACAGAAACATAAAGTGAAAAATAATAGATGATTTTTTTTTAATGATGATGAAATCAGATCAGACCTATTGTCATGTTTAATCCCAGTGAGAGTCAAGTTGGGAGTTGATAGTTTCTTTTCTTTTCTTTTCTTTTTTTTTTTTTTTTTCTTTTTTTTTTTTTTTACAGAGGATCAGTTTAGTATGCATTAAGTAAAGATTTCAACAGTTTGCACCCCCATAGAAACACAAAGTGAAATATATTATTTGAGTACTCGTTATAGCATTAAATCTCAATGCACAGCACATTAAGGACAGAGATCCTACATGAGGAGTAAGTGCACAGTGACTCCTGTTGTTGACTTTACCAATTGACACTCCTGTCTATGGCATCAGTAATCTCCCTATGCTCCAGTCATGAGTTTCCAAGGCTATGGAAGCCCTCTGAGTTCTCCGACTCTTATCTTGTTTAGACAAGGTCATAGTCAAAGTGGAGGTTCTCTCCTCCCTTCAGAGAAAGGTACCTCCTTCTTTGAAGACCTGTTCTTTCCACTGAGATCTCACTCACAGAGATCTTTTGCCAGAGTGTCTTGGCTTTCCATGCCTGAAATACTCTCATGGTCTTTTCAGCCAGATCTGAATGCCTTTAGGGCTGATTCTGAGGCCAGAGTCCTAGAAAGTACGATTTTAACCATTTCTAGGTATACAACTCAGTAACACTAAGTACATTCACCATATTGTGTGATTGTTGCCACTGTCATTTCTTTTTATGCCTGAAAGAATGTTCCTTGCTGTGGATATATGACTTTTTATTTATCCCTTTATCTGTTGGTGGACACTAAAAAGGATTGTCTCCCCATTGTGAACAGTGCTACTGTGAAGACTTGTCGACAAGATTCTGTGTGGATGTTTGTTTTCCTTCCTCTGAAGAATAGAAATGCTGACTCAGTCTGTGTTCAACATTGGAGGAACTGCTAGACTTTTCCGCAGTGCTGCACCATTTTATACTTCCCCACATGCTCCACACCACTTGTAATTCTCCGTTTTCTTGATAGTAGCCATCCTAATCAGTGTGAGGGGGGTGTCTCATGGTGGCTTTGATTTGCATTTTGCTAATGACTAGTGATATTGAGTACCTTGTAATGACTAATGGTAACTGGGTATATTTTCAAGGGCTGTTGGCCATCTGTATAGCCTCTCTGGAGAAATGTGTGAATATCTTGTCTGGAAAAATGGCATGGCACATATTCGTGAATTGTGCTGTTATTTCATTATAGAAGTTCTTTGTATATTCTGCATATTAACCCCTACTAGATACATGACTTGAAATGTTTTCTCCCATTCTGAGCCTTGTCCTTTCACTCTGAGTGGTGTCCTTTATGCACTAAAATTCTTAATTTTAGTAAATTGCAGCTTGTATGTGTTTTCCTTTGTTGCCTGTGCTTCCAGCTTCATATGTAAGAAATCGTTGTCAAACCCAGTGTCATAAAGATTTTACCTTATATTTTCTTCTAAGAGTTTTTAGTTTAACTTTTATGTTTAGATCTTTGACCCATTTTGAGTTAATTTTTGAACTGTTGTAAGATAAGAGTTCACCTTCATTCCTTTGCGTCTGGATATCCAGTTTTTCCAGCACCATTGCTGAAGAGACTGTCCTTTCTCCACTGAATGATCCTGGTACCCTTTTCAAGAATCATTTGACCAACATACATGCAAAGGCTTGTTTCTGTACTTTATTCCTTTGATCTGTGCATCTGTCTTATGCTAGAACCATGGTGTTTTGATTTCTGTAACTTTATAGTAAGTTTTCAGATGAAGAAATATAAACCCTTGAGCTTTGTATTTCAAGACTTCTTTTGGCTATTTGGAATCCCATTATATTTTATGTGAATTTTAGCCTTAGTTTTTCTATCTATGCAAATAAAAAGACATTCATTGGGGTGTTTTAAAAGATTTATTTAGTTAGTTGGTTATTTGAAAAGCAGAGTGACAGGGAGAGAGAGGAAGACAATAAGACATCTTCCATCCACTGGTCCATTCCCCAAATGACTGCAACAGCTAACGCTGGGCCAAGATGACGCCAAGAGCCAGGCATTCCATCTGGGTTTCCCACATCGGTGGCAAGGGCCTAAGTACTATAGCCATCTTCTGCTGCCTTCCCAGGCACATTAGCAGAGAAGTGGATTAGAAGCAGAACAGCCTAGACTTGAACCGGCAGTCTGATATGAGATGCCAACATTGCAAGAGATGGTTCAACTCACTACCCCACAAGGCCAGCCCCTGTGGATTTTGATAGGGATTTCATTGACTCTATCTTTATATTCCTTTTGGTAGTATTGATTTTTTTAATTAATTTATTTTTAAAGTGAACAAATTTCATATATTTCATGTATACAGATTTAGTAGCACTTCCCATCCATGAGCATAGGATGTCTTTCATCTATTTAGATTTTCTTTACTTTCCATCAGCAATGTTTTCTAGTTTTTAGTGTACAGGTCTTACACTTCCTTGGTTAAATGTATTTCTAAATATTGTTTTCTTTTGATTCTATTGCAAACAGAATTATTTCCTTAATTTTCTTTTTCAGATAATTCATTGCCAGTGATTTTTACTTTGTTGATTCAACTTTGCTGGGCTCATATATTAGATCTAAAAGGTTTTTTGTTTTTTAGAATCTCTAGAGTTTTCTATGTATGAGATCCTTTCATCTGTTAAATAGATAATTTCACCTCTTTTATAATTTGGATGCCTTTAATTTCTTTTATTTACTTATTAAATATACATATATTATTATATGTATACATATAATTATGTATATTATTATATTATAATAGTATATTATATATTATAGTATATTAATATATTATTATACATATGATACATATAATTATTAAGGCTAGGACTCTCACCATTGTGTTGAATTGGGGTGGCAAGAATGGGCCTTCTGGCCCGTCTCTGACGATAGAGGAAAGACTTTTATTCCTTTTTTTTTTTATTTGACAGATAGAGTTAGACAGTGAGAGTGAGACAGACAGACAGAAAGGTCTTCCTTCCATTGGTTCACCCCCAAAATGGCCACAACAGCTGCCATTCAGATCACGCTGTGCTGATCCGAAGCCAGGAGCCAGGTGCTTCTTCCTGGTCTCCCATGCAGGTGCAGGCACTCAAGCACTTAGACCATCCTCCACTGCCTTTCCGAGCCACAGCAGAGAGCTGGACTGGAAGAGGAGCAACCGGGACTAGAACCTATCACCCATATGGGATGCTGCCGCCACAGGTGGAGACTTAACCTAGTGAGCCACGGCGCTGGCCCTAAGACTTTTATTCTTTCAACATTGAGTATGACATCATCAGTGTTTTTCATATTGGTTGTGATTACACTTTGTACCAGACTGTCCGTCTCCCTTCTTTCACCTTTGTCAGGCTCAACTTTGGTGGCACCATATGGCAACAACAGCCACCAAGACCATAGGCTCTACTGCCCGTTCCAGTTCATTCCCATGTGGCTCACATCTAGCAAGTCTACACTGAAGCCTCGTGTGAATTTTCAAGCCCATTTGCAATTGCCTGACCTGGTCAGCCAAAGAGATGGGGAGTCCTGCAATGTCTAGAAATTTTCAGTAGATAAGGCCCAAAGCATTCACCACTCTCTACTGGTTCCATTCCAGCCTCTGCATAAACCCCCAAAATGCGCCCTAACAGAACCAGCCAGGCTCGCTGGAGAGGAATACCCAGCAGCCATCTGGCACTCCTGTGGGTGCAGCATCAGCCAGCAGGTCCCACCACAGCTCATACCCTCTTTATGCAATCAGCATGTTCGCTCTTTTTTTGAAAAATTATTTCTTATTCGAAGGAGTTACAGAGAAAGTGAGGGGTATGAGGAGAAATAGAGAAAAAGACAGAGGCAGAGAGAGATCTTCCATCTACTGGTTCACTCCCCAGATGGCCACAACAGCCAGGGCTGAGCCAGGTCAAAGCCAGGAGCCAGGAGCCTCATCTGGGTTCCCAAATGGGTGGTAGGGCCTAAGCACTTCCACTGCTTTTCTAGACCATTAGCAGAGAACTGGATAGGAAACAGCAGCCAGGATACAAACCGACACCCCTGCGGGATAGGTGCCAGCATTGCAGCCAGTGGCTTTACCCACTTACATAACACCTGCCCCCTGCCTTTTTTTTTTTTGAGTTGTGTTTTTGTTGTTGTTGTTCTTATTGTTTTTAAGATTGATTATGTGCAAATTTGGCTGTCATGAATCAGCACTTTGACAAACACACAAGGAAACACTACCTGGTATACGCCAAGGGCACTTCCACAGGAACACTACGTATTATTAACAAACAAGAGGGCCTGATCAGGATTCCTTCGTGGCACTCAGAGCTCACCAAGGACTTGAAGAGAAACTGTCCTCCTGCCTCAGAAGTAAATTGGGGATAGATGTCCACCTCTCCTCAGGAGTGAGTTGAAGACAGGTGTTCACCTACCTAAGAAGAGGATCGGGAACACTGTCTTAAGACCATTGTAGCTGCTCCATGCCCAGTTTAAATCAGAAGCCAAATCCCAGACCTGATCATTAAGAAATTTATGTTGTTCATCTGTGCACAGACCGCATCCTGCTGACAAAGCTTAAGACCCAGTGCCGTGTTTAGCTGAGGAATAACAGTGCTTTGCTAGTTACCCAGTCCGTCTTCCTGCCAAGGGCCAAAGCTCCAGACCCAACATGGAAGAAGAGGAAAGGACATGGCCACCTCCACCACTGCCCTCCAGGTTCCTAGGAGACACCCCTTCCACTATATGGGACTTTCTGGAAGCAAACTGAAACACAGGGCATTGTGTCTGGGTCTGGAAATTGGAGCGGCATGCCATTGATAACTTCAGCCAAATTCAGGCTGGACATCAGGCTGGGTCCCTGAGAATGAACAGTGGTGGCAGATGGATCATCATGGGGTCCTTGTCTTCACATAGTAAGAACAAGATTTAAGCCACTACCCACATGAGGTGTTCTGAGAAAAGGCCACACCACATGGGACCTGCAGTTGTCCATTGTTTTACACTCTTGACAGAAGAGACATTGTCATCATCTGCTGTGGAGTGTCCTCCCCCGTTCCTCCTCACTCAGAAGTCAGCCTAAAGTGTTGGTGATTCCAGAATCCTCATCACAGGATGCAGGATCCACACAGCCCATGACCCCTCAGCAGCACTGAAGTGTGTCCTTCTTCCTTCAAGAGCCTCCTGTGGTCTTGTGGAGCCTGGGTTCTCGGATACACCAAGGTGGAAGGTCCTCTGCATTAGTAATGTGCTTCTCTAATATGAAATTAAATATTGACACACAATATCCCATTAATTCTAAATACTATTTTCTCTTTTACTGATGACCCAATTACACATTTTCCATGCCCAGCAAGTTAATACACTGTTAATAGAGTGGAGATCTTCTAACATGGGATTGAATTTGCTGAATCCCTATGGACTGTTGTTCCTCCTGTTATCTTCTTTGGTTTTTGTGGGGAGCAACTCGGACTAGACTAAGTTACTGGAATTAAGACTTATTCTATGCATCTGCTCTCCCACAATATGGCGCTGAGAAGGGAGAAACAGCTTCTACGCAGCTGCCTCCAGTTCAACCAATAAACTGTAGGACCTACTCCTGATTGGAGGAGAGCAGCGTACTCGGCGTGTGGGTAGCAGAGTTGGGATTGGCGGAAGAGGACTATAAAGGAGGAGAGAGACAACAAGGGGAACATCTATCTGAAGGAACACCTGTGTAGCCCTCGAGAGAGCCGGCCGGCGGTGTGCTGCTCCCCTGCGGAAGTGGGGAAAGTGGCCAGGGGGAACCGCCCTTCCACGGAGGTGGAAGGGACAGTAGCCAACCCGGGAAGAACCAGCAGTAAACCCGGGGAGGGCCGAGCAGACGAAAGAACAACGCAGGGTCCTGTGTCGTTCCTCCACGAAGAGGGGGAGCGACAGTTTTACTTTGTAACCCTTTGTTGTTGTTGTTGTTGTTGTTGTTGTTGTTTGACAGGCAGAGTAGACAGTAAGAGAGAGAGAGAGAGAAAGGTCTTCCTTTACCGTTGGTTTGCCTTCCAATGGCCACTGCGGCCGGCGCACTGTGCTGATCCGAAGGCAGGAGCCAGGTGCTTCTCCTGGTCTTCCATGTGGGTACAGGGCCCAAGGACTTGGGCCATGGCAGAGAGCTGGACTGGAAGGGGGGCAACCGGGACAGAATCCAGCTCCCCGACCAGGACTAGAACCCCGTCTGCAGGCAGAGGATTAGCCTATTGAGCCGTGGCGCCAGACTGTAACACCTTTTATATCTTTTTTCCTGACATTGGAAGCACAGTATAGAGACAGCGTTCGTGTGCTGTTCTAATTCCAAGGAAAGAAAATGCAACTCTAGAAAACAAAAGTAAA